CCTTGCCTATGAAATTCTAGACTAACTTCAAGTGGGCATACTGAGCGACATCAAGAAGTTAGAAGTTACCAATTAGGAGTAGAGTGCAATAATACTCTGTATGCAACACCGGAAAAAGAAATGGTTTCTTATAAGAGTCAACATGCTCAAAATATGAATAAAAATTTTACTAAACAAAGCCTAATTAAAAACAATTTTTTTTCTTTTTTTATTAGGGGCACGAAAGGAGCCTTCTTTCTTAAGGATCATTCCTTTCCTGAACGTCAGGGTCGCCCTGGGCAATAATCGGTGAGTACCTTACCTCGATTGGCAAATCCTTTTACCACGACGGCAACCATTATAGTGTATGCCATCGATACGATAAGAAGAAGATATATTTTTATGCTTAAATAAACTAATTTCTTGTGTGTGCAGATGGTAATCGTGTCATATGGACTCTTCATCATGGTAGGTAGAAAATGACCGAATATCAAAACGTATCATGTAAAAAAAAACACCGAAATTTAACATGATGACTTTACATACTGAGTAATTTATATACTGAGTCATTATAACAACACACCCATTCATCGTATATGAATGTTATCTAGTGATATAGTCAATTTATCTTGGATATTATCAGACTTAAGGTAAATATCCCAGTGGTTGACACTTTTAGGCGTAAAATCACGTATTTAGCCAAAAAGTACTTAATTATTATCCATACTGACTAGGTAGTCAGTATGAATAATAATTAAGTACTTTTTGTTTATTACTTTTAATTAAGTACTTACCTAGGTAGATATGTTAACATATTAAACGGTTTGTCATTTCTCTTCTAGGAACTATAAAATTTAAAATAATCATAGGCATTATTAATATATTCCAGTTTTCGGCTACCTCTAAAATTTTTCCAGTGTACGACATGCTAAATTTCTAATGTCCCAATAAGTTAACTATGGCACAATGAGATCGGAGTACCAGTAGTTGACAGGACGTTATGTTAAGATTTCATAGTTATTTAAACGCATTAAAAACTTGATAACAATAAATTTAAAAAATATGGAAAATTATCTGTGCAAAATTTCAAATAAAAATGAGTTACTAAAATATTGACATAAATTTAATGATATTTTAAGTTAGTAAAATTTTATACAATAAAGCAATCCGCGGTATCCCATATTTTCTCGCAGCTGCAACGATAGGATTTCACAACATGGTTTTAGAGTAATATCAATATTTGTTTTCTTATTTTTTGAGAAAAAATGCAAAAGTGATAATGATCATACATTGGGACAGTGTCAAAGATTGGTACATTTACCTTAGATGAAAATGGTATACAATTATCGTGTACACGGCACCTAGTACATATAGGGCGCACTATAAATTTCCGGAACTGGCCACTTACATAAACAATATTTAAAAATAATTGCAACATTTGAAAACGAAACTTTTTGGCTGTTGAATACAGTTTGTTTCATCTAACTGTCATTTGTTTTTACATTGTCATCAAGTGGTATCATTTTAGAAATTGGTTGTCTACGTCACCATGGATTTAAGTTAAAATTTTCGTAGTATGATTTTCTACGACTTTAAGTGTAATTTAACAACTTAGCGGAGCTTCGCTCGGCTTCAAGTTGCTTTTGGTGATGAAACATTATGCAAGACGACTATTTAAAGCTGGTTTGCAGAATTCGACGACGACGACGGCGACGGGGCGTCAAATTTGGAGTGGGAATAGTAACAGGTGACGAAACACGGATTTATAGTTACGATCCCAAAACAAAGCAGCAATCGAGCTTAGGTATTTCGAGATGAGCCGAAACCAACCAAAGTGGCGCGCGTGCAAGTGCCTCTAAGCGGATGATTGCTTCTTGTTTTAATAAAACTGGACACGTGGCTACTATTGCTTTGGAGAATCGTTGTACCGTGAATAGTGATTGGTACACGACCATTTGTTTGCCGGAAGTTATTGACACACTCCGTAAAAATAATTGTAAACGCCGTATCATCCTGCACCTCGATTATGCCACTTCTCACACGGCCAGACAGACAAATGAGTTTTCGAAGGTGAACAACGTTGACCTTATGAGCCATCCCGCGTACAGTCCCGACCTGTCACCTATTTATTTCCAAAAATTAAGAACCAGTTACGCGGTCAGCGATTTTCATCACCTGAAGAGGCTGTCGAAGAGTATGAAAAATATGTTTTAGAGATTATCACGGAGGAGTGGCATAATTTATTTGAAAATTGGTTCATTCGTATGAAAAAGTGCAATAACGCTAGCGGAGAATATTTTCAAAAACAATAAATTTATTTCTGACCATTTATAATTTTTTTTTTTATTTATTCCTGAAACTTATAGTGCGCTTCCTCTTCTAACTTCAAAAACCCCAAAAAGTCGCTACATTAAAAAGCGAAAAATAACAAAATACAAAGTGATAAAAAAAACAAATAACCAAATGACAACAATCCACGTAATACTTTTTATTTATCTTATAAAAAATTTTAAATTGAAATTTTATGTATATGTAAAAATTATATTATATTATTATTTTTATTTGTCTTATTTCGTGTTGTACAGAGTATTATAATCACTAATTATTAATAAAATTAATCTATCTAAGCTGGCATCGACTCCAAAAATAACTGATTTGTGCATATATAAATATCAATATTTTTTTTAGTTGTGAAATAAAACTTCAAACCGATCAGTAACACGTACTAACAATTATATTTTATTAAAATTATTGGTAATGGGTTTGGATTTTGGTTTTGGTTTGGAAGTATTGTCACGTTGTAATTGTATAAATAAACCATAAATGTAGGTAGATTAATTATATTAATAAGTACTAATTATAATGATGTACAAACAAATCCTGTACAAAACGAAATAAGACAAAAATAAATAAAAGTATATATTAAATTTGTATTTCGTTATTTTTAGCTTTTTGGTGTAGTGACTTTTTGTGGTTTTCGAGGTTGAATGACTTTTTTATGTTTTTACTTTCATGTGATAAAAGCAATTTGACGTAATCACATGTGCCTTTATTACACCAAATGATACGGTTTGTTTTTTCAATGAAATCAAACGTTTCGGGCAACATATGTGAGCAAAATTATTAATGAGTAAGTATTTAAATATACAAATTCTGAGTAAATATTATTATGATATAATACAAGATAACCTTACCTACCTACTACTACCTTACCTACTTATTTCGTCCAATTAATGAAAATCTACATTACGAATAAACTAAAATAAACTTAGTGGTATAGGTATGTATTGTAGATTAATTTGTCCTATTAGCACCACGTATGTGTAAGTTCACTGTTTGGCATAACTTGTAAACGATGTGATGTTTCAATTTGCAGTTCATACCACTTAGTGGGTATTCTACATCAGACGCTTTTGCAAATTCAGGTTTTTGTTTCTTATTAACTGTGTTATTGCGTAGTTAGTTTTTGAAACAAATTTTTAACATATTTTATATTATTGTATAGGCACGACGATCTGCGATGAGGTTTTTGACAACCTCTGTGGTCCGAGGCTTAAATACCGGTTTTTATGGTGTCTCCATCTCTGAGGTCCCGTGTTCGATCCCCGGCCAGGTTAATGTAGAAAAACTATTCTCTATTGTCTCGGGTGTGGGTTTTGTGGTACCAACGTTGTTTCCGTCTTTCATAACACACGTGCTTTCGTTAATTAATTGGAGATTGGAGCAAAGTATGTGATGTCGTCGAATATTTACTTATTTATTTATTATTTTAAAAAAGAACGTACATTGAAAATGTATTGCAATTCACACACAACTCTGCGACTGCTGAGTTATCAAACCATATCGAATAGTCTGTTATAATAATCCTGTTGCATTTAGTGTCGTGAAATTCAATGTAAGCAATGAGAGGAACCTTTCAAGTTTCAGTGGCGTAATTCATTTCAACGTTTTATGTTCATGGCCATCCAACCGTTAGGTCTGTTTAGATATGCCATAACACTGTCAAATCTAGTTCAAGATTTTTGGCACATTTTATTACAATATAGGTTAATAATACAATTTTTTATAGCTTTTTCACTTTTCTTCATTGCAAAACACCCCAACGCATGCATCAATGATTTTAATAACTAGAAGGTAACTATTGCAGATATCTCGATAATGTTTTGAGTTTTGTATAAGAAACTTGAGTAGGAAGACAAGTTGCGCCTGTTAGCGACTGGGGCGCCAACAGGTCATTTCGGAGAATTCCTTTATGACCACTCGTCCTTTGTATACCCGCAACAATAAAAACTTAACGACCCCACGTTTAATTTGCAATAAATCGTTGTTTTGTAGAGTGGAAGCAATAAATACGATAGAACATGATTGTTACTAATATAAAATAGTGGCTAAGATGACCTTTCTTTCTATATGACCTTTCATATCGATATTAGGTACCTTTTAACATTAACTAAGTCGGTAGAAACTATTACTGCCATAATACTTGATTGTAAAGAATAGCGAAGGAGCTCTGAATACCGTGCCGTAAGGAACGATTAAATTACCCTTATTTAACGACAAATTGGGGTTTATTGTAAGGAGAATAAATTTGTACGTACGTACATATGTAATATAATACACATGGTATGTATCACGTGACCCATAACTATTTCTTATTGCATTTTGGTTGTGTATTGAAAAGTCACCATGCTCTACCTGTTCATGCAAACTTTTTATATATTTAGATATTTCCTACGTAAAAATCAATTGAAGTAATAGTTTCGATTCTCGTTACACTTTTATGATTCATAATTTGTGAATAGTAGAGTTAGTTACGGCATATAACACATTGGAGAACTTCGTCAACGGATGTAACAGAGTATTTCGCCAAACCCGTCGCACGGTCACGCGGCGGCGGCGCGGCGCGGCGCGGCGCTCCGCTTCAGGCCCGGCCGCTTCCGAAGCAAACACAAATCACTTTACTCGGCGCGTTCAGACGCGCCCCACTCGTTTTGTTCATTGTCGACTTGAAAGCAAGAGTAGCACGACGTCTCCATGCTATAACAACGCCTTTCTACTTTTACTTTGCTACAATTTTTTTTGTTTATAAGTAAACAACTTTACACTTTTAGTAGAGTTTATAACATTAATTTAATAAATTTCTAGTTGTTTAAATACAACAGATTTCCTACTTAATGAAATATTTGCACGGCAAAAGTTACTCACAATTTTAAACGTCGGCAATCTGCAGACCGGAACTGTCTTTCGTTTGTGAAACATTTCTGAATTTTGTTCCTACATTTGAGATATATTTCGCGACGAGTTCGACGGTCAATTTCAGCAGAGGTGGATCAGAAAGAAATCAAAAATGTCGAAAAAACATCTCCACAACCAAGCTGCAATACCTCTAGCACCAGCAGTTTTTAAGGTAAGTTATAATTTATTAATAAATTTTAATTATGTAACTTTAACGTTTTTGCGAATTAAAGTTTATTTCCATTTACTAAGAGGATTTTCGGTTGTGTATCACATGAAAGCTTTGCGATAATTTATAATTTTCAATTAAAACGAATTTGCGTCCTCATCTGTTTCGTTGTCAATATATTATTTTATTATTTGAACATTACATTATTTTAATGAAATAAACCTAATAAATACCATAAGGTAGATGCAATTAAGGAGATATATGAACTTTACTCCCGTTTTGTATGTGGTAATTATTAAGCCCTGAACACATTTTCGAACAAATTTGTTACGTTGCACTATAAGTAACGCCGTTTTGAATCCATTTTGTATCAAACTCACAATATTCGATATTGATGGTGTTCAGTGATATTGAGGATATTTCTTGTACAATACGCATACATGACAATTTGATTTGTATATTTATTCTGTTAAAAAAGTGTAAGTGCTTTGAAAAGCCTGCTTAGAATTGTGTTTACTCGGACAATCCAAAAGTTCTTGACTAATATTTGAGTTTCATCATGTTCGTGTTCGATAGTGCGCATACAGCTTTCGTAATCCGCGGTTTTGTTCTAAGCTTCATGTGATTTCCTTGAAGTATGTATTGTATGAGCGAACAGCATACGTCGTGTATGTAAACATGTACAAATTGCATTACACATTCTACCACCTCTTTTCGATTACAATACACATTCCTCTTCAATTTGACACCGCTGTGCGTTTACTAGGAGATATGCTGCGCTTAATGTTTTTAGAAACACTTTAGTTCATAATGATGCCAAAAGTATCTATGTGTACTATACATCTCTGATTATCGTGAGATTTTATACTTTAGGGTAGGTATATTAAAAAGTTTAATAATTAAATTACTATTACTGGTGGCTACTTCCATTTTTGATAAGATATCGTTTAGGTAACACGTAAAATTCCACTTTGAAAATTGATATAAAGTAGTAGGTATATGAATTGACTTAACTAATAAGGGATTTCATAATCGTCGAAATAACTCTTTATCGCGATATTCGAATAGGTAAGTCCCTGTTTTATAGGACGTATTTATGTTTCAGTACCGTTGATAAGAAAAAAACACTACATTTCACTTGAACAGAATGACTAGAGAACTTGATGACGTGGCAACTTTTTGTCTGTTTATTTAAAATGGAGTGAACATTGAGAAACGTATTAATTTTTATTATATACTCTGTCTAAACCCTAAAGAAGATATTTTTATGTAATTATTGCCAGTATTTTTGTAACATGCGAGTAGTAAAGTAAATAAGTGAATGAATATACGTTCTTGACCAACTTTTTTGTTACTTTGATCTTCAACAAATAAGACGAAGGAAACAACGCATTGTGTTTATTTAATCCGGTTATTTTTCAGTCACCAAACCATTTTAAATGTGACAGGTAAATATTGTAATGATTTGTCGGTGGTGTCTTTTAAACATTTTATCTAATTATGTTGTACTCAAGAAAGACTATGCGCGTGTTTATACACGTTGGCGGTCGGGTGTCAGTTACACTATTGTTAATTTAATCCGACTGAAGATGATACCACGTGCATCGTAGCCGTTATTAGTAGCCATCGCTTCCAAGGAAAACTTGTGCTGTTGAAATTATCGATACCTAAAACAGAAACGTAGTATTCCATTAAACACTAATTTCATGTTTCCTATGCCTACTGACATCTTGTCTAGACGTTTTAAACAGAATCCGAGTGTCCAATTTATGTTAAATCACCGTTACGTACTTTCATGCGTGTCGATCTATCTCACTTGCCCTGTGTTATGATAAGAATATTAGGCAAACTAATGGCAACTGCACGTGAGTAGTAAGTAGGTATAGATAGGTATCTTAAAGCATAAATGCAATCTAAGCTTATGTTTGCGCCACACCACACATTGTACGGCCGTGTTGTCGGTGCGCACGCGCGACCTCCAAAACGAGTGCGAAGCACGTAGAGGCGGTCGCGAATCGCAAACCGCGATCACCAACAACTTTGCACGATTCATATTCTGTGCGCTTGGGCAGTGGAATATTCCACTAGCGGTCGTCGCGGCTGCGCGCCGCCGTCGTCGCTTGTTCCGCCGCCGCCCCTCTCCACACCTCTCCCCGCGCATACAATTCTCATGGAGGCAATGGCGGTCCCCATACAAAATTATTCAAAGGGGTTCTTATCTTGAGAGACTTGAAACCTATTTAAATTTTAACAATTCACAATTCCCCGCTTTCGTCAATACTTCTTAGAACCATAACTAATGTTCTTTAAGATTAGGCATTTTATTACGCTTGGTTTGATTCGTTTATTTCAACGTAAGACTAGTACCTACGATGTTTTTATTAAAGCAATCAATACATTTCGTCTCCAATAAAATTTTTATTGAAATACCCGAGTGAGTATTGTCTTGCACGTTATTCAGTCGCGGCGATGATGTGCGAGCGACAAAAAAATCTATAATAGCCTGTAAATTAAAACGAGAGTGGAAGGTTTCTTTGTATTCGATGATACCTGAGTGTCCTTGCGAACAATAGACTTTCAAATTTTTCCAGAAAGATTATATATCTTAGCTTTGCTATAGACGTTTTTGAATGGTGTTATTGTCGCTTTGTTTGGACAACGATCACATTGAATTTTTTAACACGCGAGAACTGGAGCTAAAAATTTTGTGATGGAGTTGTGTTCTTTGCGTTCGTATGATTTCATATGAGCAATTAGATTTTATTTGCGGTTGGACCAGACTTTCAGGTTATACTATTTTATGTTTAAACCATGTTTTTGATGGTGTATAAGTATATTTCATTCCAATCCAATTACAGTTTGGGGGTTGAGCAATTTCGAGAATATTTTCTGACCGTAATATTTCCAAGGTTTACAACTAGGTATTTCAAAAAATATTTTGACATTCCTAGAGTTTAGTGTTTCTATGCCTAACCATGATTTTCCACGATGGTTAACTATTTTATGATAATGAGAAACTATGATAAATCTTTATTATTCTCACAGGATAAAAATAACTAAATAGGTAAACAAAGATAGTTTATTGTTGCAACACTGAGTTTCTTATTGTGTAGAGATTGATGCGTGATCTAGGTAGCCCAATGAATGTTGTAGGTTACCCACAAAGTTCATAATTCGAACATTCCACAAAGGAATTAAATTGAAAACGTACTTGATGGATGCGACAGACGTGTTTACAAACGTACAGATTAATTGGGTGGTTACGTGTCACTGTCATTAATTTGTTATGTACACAATAGATATGGGTTTCAATCTGGACTTCAGTAGTTTTGCATCTGGTGCTGACGCCCACACGTAGCAGACGACATTGGACATGATGGACTAGACATGGCAGACATGATAGTCATGAAGTGATTGTCTTGCCCACAGGACTTGCCTATCATGACAAGCATGACAGACGTCACATGGCGAATACCTAGGTTAATACAGCAGGATATTTAAAAAGGACGTATATGTGAAATAATTTTAGCGTTTAGATTACAGAACACAGGAAAAATAAAATCTCAAAGTACTGCGAATTAAGTCCGTAGTTTGTGATCGAGTTAATGCTACCAATAAATTCATCGGGTGTTTGGTTCACGTTTTTTCTAACGATGCCTGAAGGTATGTAGATACCAAACGTAGGTTTACGTACATTCCTGCAAATTATTAAAATATTAAATGTTAAAATTTTGTTAAAATAGAGGTAACTATTAAAAGGTATAATGTTTCAAGTTACGTACGTTTACGTTAACAAGAATTTGGTTGGTTGAACAAAATTATACTGATACTTACTTTGTAAAGTAGTATGAGTAAGTTTTGGCCTACACGACACGTGCTTAGCTATTTTTTTAAGCTTTAGGTTACTTATGCTTATTCATCATAAAAGTATATACACAGCAAAAAAATAACTTTGGATTAAATATGATTTAGTAAAGTTAAAATTGGGACTAACTTTTTTATTTTTTTTAGTTATAATCAAAAGTTTAAAAAGGCGACAACATTCGTCACAAACGTTATGATTGTGTAAGAAATAATAATTGAATGTAACAATTCCGAAATTGATTCTGGAAATTTTATTAGTTGCTTTTTGATCTACATTAGAGTATTGCAAATTTTTGTAATCCAGGCTTGGTAACTTTTTATACTGGCATGAGTCAAAAAGAGAATAAAAGAATCAGGAGATAGGAAGTGGTGGATGAACTCATGTGAACCATCTAATATGAGATGACAATGATGTCAGAAACTTAAAAAAAAAGAAGTTCTTGACAACAAGCAAAAGAAAATGCGTCACGTCTCGTACGAGTGTGTTAAACTTAGAAGATGGTTCCATAGTCTAAGGTGTTCTTAGAGGATGGATAAAGGTGTTAAAGAAAAACGCATTTGATAGGACAGAATGGTTTACTAGTAAGAAATAGTATACTTAGAGGTAGAAAAGAAGAAAAAAGCAAAAAAAGACATTTAAAATATCGGATCAATATTTATATGGAAAATACAATAGTGCCCTGTTTTACCTGTGAAAATCACACAAACATATAGCCGATACAATTATTATAACAATTGTTTATAATATACATCGCCTTTACCATGCAGTAAAATATAATATTCGTGTCACGTATTATTGAAGACAGTTACGAACTGTTACTATTATTTTGTGATTCTGTGAATGTGCGGTTACTATACTATTCAGCAGTCAGGTTTGGTAAAGGCATAGGGGAAGGGTGAAAGCGAAATGCGGATTTTTTGCCGTGACTCACCTGCGCATTGCATATTGTTTTGTTAGCCAGGAATCTAACGTCACGAACTAAATTAAAGCTTGAAGTTAAAGCAAATTTAAAAAGCTATAAAGCTATAGGAAAGACTATAAGTTCAATTTCAGATATTTTTTTATGGGGAATCTTAATTTCGTTTACAACTTATCAGTGGAACGTCGTACATTTTGTGTTCATTAGCATTTACTGTCT